AGTTACCCTTAAAGGTCTGTTAACGGTGGTGTAGAGGGCAACTGGACAGGATAAAGCTCGCTGACACAGGCTGCAATAAAAACTGACTGGGAATCTCATCATCCCATAATCTACTAATAAAGAAGGCCAGGATTTTATAAAACGTACCCTTCCAATGGGGCCACCCCTGCACTGCAAGGGTTAAGTGCTCATTTTGGTCTATGGGCGCAAATAAAGAAGACATAATCACCTGACCCTCGATCCTGTGGCAGTCAGTGCTCACCTCTACTCCAGGTGTGGATTGATCCTTAGCATACTCACATCTTAAGGTGCCCATACACCTGCCGATTATCGTAAGATAATCGCGGGTGATCCCGCGATCGTACGGTAATCGGCAGGTGTATGGAAGGCGCGCGACCGTTTCTACTGTACGGTTGCACGTCTTTTGTCTTCCGAGCATGCTGGAAAACCTGCCGAAAATCATGAGATTTTCGGCGGATTACTGGCATGCTCGGAAGAAAAATGCCAAACGGGCCGGTGTGTGCAAGCACACACTGCCCGCTCGGCCTTGCAGTCATCGGAAGCCCTCCCCTCAGCGGATATGTTTAGGATATGCTGATTTAGGAATCTAAGTTGTGATCAGATTCCGGCTTGCCACGTCTTGATCCTTTGTTTTCCTTACCTAGATCACAGGCTACAGCATAACAAACTCAAAAGTGGGCAACCTGCTTTTTTAAATGCCAAACCAATCTGCGTGTTTTATAACATTTTGCAAATACAAAGATGTGCTTTGAAGATATTGACAATGTTGCTGTCAAACTCTCAATTCGAGCCATCAGACCCCATTCAGGGCCGGTGCACATCTAGGCGACAACTCACCGCACGCCAATCGTGCACGATTCCACACGGATTGCCGCGTTGTCAGGTGTCGCATAGGTGTGCACCAATCACACTGTGGTTGCCATTATTTTCTAATGGCACCCCAGTCGCATACTTGTACCTTTTTTCTGTGATTGCCACGCGGATGTCACCCCATTTACTATATAAATTTGTTTTTATTTAGGTTTTAACATAGATACAGGGATATAAAACAGAACAAAATTAAATAATATAATGAAATAATAATATAATCCGAAAGAAATTGAGCTTTTGTAGCATGATTTCCACTCACAAATCGCTCAAATATGAAGCCCAATGTAGCTCAATTAAGATCTTCCAATGCTTTTCAATAGAGATGTAGCTTGTAGGTGAAGCTTGTCGCTCGAATATGAGCTATTTTGCTGCAGATTTTGAGCGATTTGGCCCCAATAGACTTTGATAGACTGCCAGAAGAAGCACTAGAAAATGTGCACTGTAGCTCAATGTAGCTCAATGCTGCTCAATGTCGCTCAGCTCAAATCAGCACTGAAAAAGCGTTTATTTTGTTGTAGCTCAGTGTGAATGGGGTCTAAGGCTGTGTAGGCACAATTTGCTTGGAAAAGAAAAAGGAACAAAAAACTCTCCTTTTTTCTTTATTTAAAGGATATTTAATTCTATTTGTTTGGAGAGGGGTGTGTACTTGGGATCATTTTGTTTATGTAATTCAGCGTTTTTTGTTTTTCTCGTTTGATTGCTATAGAGTTTCTTTAAATTGTATTTTATTTTTTAACTTTTTTTTCCTTCTGTAACATAGATAATTAGGGGACATTTTCTGGCACAGGTACACATCCAGGATAGTTAAGATTAGCTTCTGTAACCCTCAGGGGCAATTTAAAGCCCATTTTACCCTTAAAGACCTACTAAACCACCTTAATTTCACCTTCCACATTGACTTCAATGCATTTTGTCAAAATAAAATTTTACCAAAATGTCTAGAGTTTGCTGACATTTCAGGAAAAAAACTCCCAATTTCACATATCACATATCCCTACTCTTGCAGTGGAAGGAAATGCATAACAGAATATGGAAATTATGGGATATGCCTTAACAGAAAAGGAGAACTGTACTACTACAAGTATTGTTGTCCAAACAATAGTACACTAATCCAACATTGTTTTTGGCCAGATTCACCATTTTAGAAATGTAGCCAAATCAATAGAATATCATAGAAGAAAATAAGGGATTATGTGCAGTAGCCAATCAGAATTTATCTTTTCACTGAGCTGGCCAAAGTAAATCTGGTTACTCTGGGTTACTGTTACATAATTTGTACATTGCTCTGATGCATACAGGTTACCAATCATCGCTGACTGCAAATATTTCAAAATTTTCAGAAAAATAACTACATAGTTATACATAAAGGATCCCTTTCCTGAAAGAAATATGGAGGATGATACTAGTGACTCTCTAAATGCTGGCTGTCTGGCAGCCATTCTAATCATCATTGCCTTTGGTCCTCATGGAAGCCTGGAAGATAGTATTTTTAGAAGGTGAGGTCAGCAATGGCAGTATAGGTTTCATTTAAATGGTCGGTCCTCCCTCAAGCTTGTATTTTAGTTCTGGTTGAACATCCATAAGGTAAACCACTCACTGGTTTCTTATATTACTCAGGGACTCAAAAAGTGAGATGCTGTTATAGGAATTTCTGGATCTGTCTATCCCTGCTATACTGATGCTCCTGGAAAATTGTGTGAGACACTTTATAATGGCCAGGCAGGTGGGTGTAGCTCAGCTGTGGATTCATTCTATCAGTTTTATTGGACACACATTAAGGTGAGATTTGGAATGTCATGTTTAAATTTTAAATTGAATCTCAAGCAGTAGTATACTGTTTATTCCACTGGTGAGATATTTTTATTTATTTTATATTATAGAAAATTTAACAGAAGGAACTGGCACAGGTGAGCGAGCACACAAAAAACTTTCAAGTAGATGGGAATGGAGTCATAAATTATGCCAGGAAGATGCCACTGCTTCAAATTCATGGCATATAATCGTTCAGGGACCGACTAAACCCACCTGGATTTACCTGTAACTAAAATGCCAATTGAGTCAAATATTTTGTGAACTCCAGTGGCATGCTCCACCTGCCTTCATATAGTCTCCTTTCTTCTGCTGTAGAGCAATCTCAACCTTCCTGCTTAATTCACCATACAATGAATACATGCAAACTCCCTCAAGCAGAGTTAGACCCTTTGACAGTGACCATTGAAAGTGGCCAGTGCTGTAAACTCAGATATTTTAGTACCAAGATATATATAAAGTGATCGGTCGATTCAACCTGCTGGCATACACACCAAACTGAAGCATCACTACTAGTCTTAGGTGACTTGGGTTCAAAAAGTGTATAGGACATCATGCATTCAGGCAGCTATTTCAAAAGCTGAAACCTTCAGAGACAAATTTAAGAGAAGAGAGGAAAGATTCCTATTTATTATATGAGCCTCTAATTAGCTGACCATGGGTCTAAATTAATCAGTTTCCATGCATATATCACCTTTAAATGTGTAACAATAATGGAAGAATCAGACTTTGGAAAACTATAAAATCATCAGTGAGGCTTAAAAGCAGATTGGAACAATCTCATTCACTGCAATGAGAATCCCATTAGGGAAAAACAGAAAAAGCTGTACATTTGTGTAGGTAAAAATGACTTGCGTTATATGTAGGGAAAGGATTATTTGGCTATGGGATCCTCTAGTGGTACCTTTCCAGTATAACAACCTTTTCTGGAAGCAGTTAAACAAAGCAGTTAAAAGAACACGGGGGCTGAAAACCTGGCTGGCTGATGGGCATGCTGATTTCATGGCTTCAATACTTAGTTACCAACCCGAAAAAAAGCATGCCATCAGTGTAGCCAGAACTTCGGACCTGCAATGTCACCCCTTTATTTGGGTCAGTGGCGGTTTCCTTCAAATATTTGAAGGCATAGGAGAAAAAGGGACACCCTTTCTAGAAGAAAGGGGATGGCAGAGTACAGGTATTTCTCTAGTTCCTGCAAAATCTATCTATCTATTTATCTATCAATCCTAAATAATATTAATAGAACAATTGATA